TCACCCGTACAGACTCCCTCGCGTTGTTCACAGGACTTTTCTCTTGCACCGAGCCCACTCTAACAGACCTTTCACCTCATGCCAACAGTGTCTTCTTTCCTCACAACACAGCTCAGCGTTACTTTTTTTTTTGAACTATTTATTACCTGGCTTTCGGTTCATCCCAGTGACCCACTGCTGTTCTGACCTTTTAGGTGTCCCTTTGCCCAAGGTCCCTGCACAACAAATAACTGTGTGGCTCCATCAGGAAGTTCTTCCCAATCAGTGTTCTTTATCCATTAGAGTCACAAGTTAAATTAAAAAGACTGCCTTCCTCGAAAAATGCCTATACCTACAGGTATACAAACTCTGCATACAGTTTAAGAAGGTTCTGGATCTCTTTGAGATCCATCTATAGATCCTGGGTTTAAAAACTCTTCAACACACTCTCCCACTCTAATTCATGATGCAGAGAAGACATGGGCCAAGACTAGCTTTACAGAGGAGGAGGCCAAGTCAGGGTGAATCCACTTTCTGAAGCAGTATGGGGGAGCAGGACTGATGGGGTACATGCAAAACAGGCTATAAATTGTGTAAATTCACCTGAAAATCAGTAAGAGCAACATATATGTGCTATTATCCTATTCTAAAAATGTATTTTATTTGCATCTATTATACCTGTTTGCTGTTTAGTCACTAAGTCGTGTCTGACTTTTTGTGACCCTGCGACTATAGCCCATCAGGCTCCTCTGTCCATGGGATTTCCCAGGCAAAAATATTGGAAGGGGTTGCCATTTCCTTCTCCAATATTATACCTACATCTGAACAATGAACACGCTTTGGTTCAACAGTCAGTCCACTGAGACCTCCACTGACACATGTAACAAACACAGGGCCCAGGAATCTCTAGATTTGCTCGTGTGCCTCTTAATATTTTAAAACAGAAGGTGAGAATGATTTATTTAAAATGTCTCTGTGTCCTTCTGACCTCGGAATTACTCTCGCTTATGCACACCAGGAGTAGGGAACCAAGCGGTAACACCTGGAGGCCTGCCCGCCTGCAGGGTTTGGGTGACACTGGCTAACGGGAGCTGGAAGCTCTCCCAGAGTTTCTGAGGCCCTTGGAGGGTGTGTCTCAGCGCTGCCCTCTCCTGGCCCCACAACTGTTGATGCGTGGTACTTAGGTGTTCTGCCCCACTTCAGTCTGGACATAGCATTTGGCCCTTCCATGAGCTTCCATAAGAAATCTGCTCAGACTGAGCATCCCAGGACTTCAGGGGGAAGGATACTGTGGTCGCGAGGGTCCATACAGGACAGCGTGCAACCAGACACCACCCTACTCCACTGGGTCCCTCTCTAACTCCCTTCCCAAGTCCACTCTGTATCTTCTTGTCTCAGACTATACCTGGACACTCGAGTTCTTTGCTTTCTCACCACATGGAGCCACTCAGCCTTCTCTGGGTCCCACCCCAAATGCAGATGTCCAGACCCATCACAGTGCTCAACAGGACAAAAGGACTCCTGATAACATGACTCATCTTCCTTAATAGGCAAATGGTATTAATAATAATTATCTGTTATATTACTAAAGGTTAGACACTTCATGGGCTTTCCAGGTGGCACTAGTGGTGAAGAATCAGCCTGCCAAGACAGGAGACGTAAGAGATGCAGCCTCTATCCATGAGTCAGGAAGATCCTCTGGAGGAGGGCATGGCAACCCACTCCAGTATTCTTGCCTGGAGAAGCCCATGGACAGAGGAGCCTGGCGGGCTACAGTCCATAGAGGCGCAAAGAATCGGACACAACTAAAGTGACTTAGCACACAAGTACTTTATATGTGTTTATTTCATTTTCTCAAGTATCTCCCAGGTTAGGTTATTTTCAAAACCATTTTACAAATGATAAATCTGAGGTTCAGAGAAGTTAAGCTTAAGGTCACAGAGTAAGGGCTCCACCACCTTCAGGTTCCCTACCCCTCTTCAATCCATGGACCAACTCAGCAATACTGCTTATCCTGATAATCTGCCTCCCATCCTGTGATGGTATCAACCTCTTTCTCACCTCTTCCTCAGGGTTTGATTTCACCACTGAGTATTTTTTCTATCTTCTGATATGTGCTTTCACTTATTTTCAAATTGCTGAGGGTAACAGCAGGCTGTACAGAAAACGCTGCTTAATAATTTAAATTTGGGGGAATAACTGAACCAAGAGTTGGAAGGCCCCTGGGAAGCCATCAGGAAACTAGGAAGTGAGCCGTGACTTCTCACTCTCATACCTGAACTGCCAGCAAACACAGGAGTGACTTGATAGGTGAATGTGAGTGCAAGTGTGACCTCTCTGCCCCACCCCACTCACACCGAAAGGGCTGTCTGGATTACTCCCGCCTCAACCAGAAGTGGAGCATAGACTCGCCCCAAGAAGCAGATGGATGCCAGACCCACTATCGGAGACTGTGGCTCAAGTCTGGGCCACCACTGCTTAGCTGAGAGGTGTCAGGCCTTAGCAGGGGTGGGTGACAGCCATCAGGGGCCACAGCAGGGTTCGCAAAGTAAAACAGAAGCCTACGGGCAACATGCAGATAACTGTTTAGTCACTCAGTCATGTCCAACTCTTTGCAACCCCGTGGACGTATAGCCTGCGAGGCTCCTCTGGCCATGGGAGTTCCCAGCAAGAATACTGGAGTGGGTTGCCATTTCCTTAATACAAATACCAAAATGGGTCACACAGGAAATGTGAATTCATTGCTAACCTTTAAATTTTAAGTAAAAATCTGGATTGTTGGTTTTTGCTTAAAAGAGCAGACCACACGGGACCCTGAGGCCTGGTTTCCACCATGGAAACAAACAGCTACCGCTGAGCAGGCCATCCTCTCAGGAGGGTGGGCTTTCTCCAGTCTGCCACAGACCTCATGACTCCTTGGTCAAGTGCTTGTCCCCTGGGCCAGGGTGTCCTCACATCTTGGTTTGCTGGGATGGTCCCAGTTTAGGCTTGTTGTCCATGTTTGAGTATTAATAGCAACCTCCTCACTATATCATATGGTCACCTAGACATAATGCACAAGCCCACCTCCACCACACACACACACAGACCACCAAGTTCATACCACCATATGTCAAGCACAGAACCCTGTTATAAAGTGATTTTATTAAATTGATTTGGACATACTGTAGGTCAAATAATATTTTCCGAAGATAACAATTATGGACTTTAAAGCTCGACATAAAATTAGTAGCTTCAAAAGTGTTAGTCATATTCCCCAGCAACAGCATGATAAAATAATTCAACTATGTAGAAATATAGAACTCTAGGACTAGCTGGAAACTCGGAAATCATTTAGCCTAATGTCCTCATTCTGTACGTGAGAAAACTAGACTCAAAGATTAAGCGATTTTGCCCAAGCTCACATACCTAATAGTAATAAAGCTAGAAATCAAACCCATTTTTCCTAAAACTAAAATTCTATCAATGATATTTGAACTGGCTCGCTATCAACTAAAAGTCTAGGCTTTTCTCTAATGCTCCACACTACTGTGACATGAGAGAGTGTTAAGACACTACAGTAAATCGTAGTCGAGGAATTCAGGCCTGGAAGGGGCTTTATCAAATAACTAAGCCAGCCCACTCTTTGCAAAAAGGAGGAAAATTACGTGAAGTGACTTCCCAAAGGCTTATTAACAGAGCTATCCAGATGAAAATTCAGATGGTAACACATGTACCCCCGCCACCAAAAATCCCATCGTCTACTTTCACCCACTCAGTTAAGTGCCCCTTTTAAATCTCCTTTATGCGCTGAGGTTTTAGTTATACAAAAACCCCTTCCAGTCAAATAGAAGAAATTAATTCAAATATGAAGAGAAAATCAAGCTTTGTTTCATATTTCGGTGACTATTTCGGGTAGTTCATTTTCCAACCTCTCAAGACAGTGGACAGACACTGCTAACCTGATCACCCAGTTCAGAGCTTTCAAAAAGCCTTAATTTCCCCCAAAGACTTCCTGAGCAAAAAGGACTACATGTGGGAAATCAACAAAAACAGGAATGAGGAGAGAAACAAAGTTCAAAATTAGTTGCTTTTTGTTGTCATTGGGGACTTTTGGTCTTCTAAACATTCCTGGAGTTCCTCCACATGAGTTTTTAATATCAATCTAGCCAAAAAAAAAAGGGCCTATAAACGTCAGGATACTGAGCTTTCAGCATCTCCCCCGCCCCACTGCTCACTACACTCACCGCCGGGCCACGCCTTCTGCTCTGCCCACTGCGCACAGGGCCGCCCCCCTGCGAAAGCTGGGCACCTGCGCTCCGCAGCAGCCCCCGCGCTGCCCTTGCCCACACAAAGGCCTCCCTGACCGCTATCTACTGCCGCCCCCCACCCCCACCCCCCCACAGCTCTAAATCATCACCCTAGGTTATTTTCTCCATAGCACTTAATCACTATCTCACACTACGTTATTTGTTTACTTGCTTATCATCTGTCTCCTCCACCAGAAGTCAACTCCACGAGAGTAGGGCCCTTGTCTGTCTTACTCAGTGGTATCCCCCGCAAGGGGCACAGTGCCTGGCACATAGGAGGTGTTCAATAAATACTTGTCCAATGAATGAAGAAAGAAAAGGAGAGGTTAACAGAGACACTCCTGCCTACAAAGGAACGGATATGTAATCCTACACATTATTGCCCAAAATTACATTAACAGAAACTATTATTAGGGACGCCTCCTACCATCCACTTCTCCTACGGGAAAGTGGCTCCACCTGTTACTAAAGGAGCCCCAGAGGGCAGTTCTGGATGGAGAAACGTCCCAACTCCACTCACTTCCTCCTCCCTATTTACATTCAGCTATTTCCCCCCGCAAAAAAAAACAAAAAATATTCAAGTTAAAAATATGTGATGTAGCCACTAGAAAATTAAGTCTAACATAGTGACACAGTGATTAGCAGAATTCACAAAATTAAAGTTCAAGGGCGTGTATGCTTGCCAATGATTTTCTCTGACAGGCAAAGTGGCCATCATGAGTCACCTAAAACCTAAAATGAAATTTGATGCCATCTAGGAAGGGGTGGATATTTATGGGCATTTGGAGGGTACACGGGTAGAGTGAGTGCAGAAGTAATGGGATACATGGACAGATATGGAGAGGCTAAACCAAGTGGTAACCTCTGAAGTACCAGAACACTACTTGGTGGAAGCTGGCCGTTTTCAAATGCATTCACCAGTATGCTGGGATCAAGAGAAGGAAGGTGGCGAGTTCCTGAAATGGGGCAGTATCTGGGGTAACTTTTAGGTAAAGTGTAGACAGAAGGTGACTTGGGAGGCTGTGCAACGACCACGGTTTCCTGTGTAGTTATTCCACCAGAATCCCAGGAAATGCACACCCACGACTGGGACCTCACAGCCTGCCCTGGGCACACACTCACAGGAGTTCCAGATTCACAAGTTGTGCAACACACTTGGCATGAATCCAAAAACTCACCCTCATGCATGCCTCCTGGAAAACAATGTTCTGCTGGGTCCTGCTGTAAAAATTTCTTGGATCAATGTAGGTATTTACAGGGTTTTTCCTTCCTAGTGGCACTTACGGGTTTTAAGAATTTTTTTTAACTCTTAGCAAAATGCTTTATATAACTGATATTTTGAGATGGTTTCTCTCCTTTGTGTGCACTCTCTGGTGGATGCAGAGGCTGGTGCTCTGACTGAAGGCCTTCCCACACTCATCGCACTTGAAAGGTTTCTCCCCTGTGTGCACTCTCTGATGGATGCAGAGGCTGGAGCTCTGGCTGAAGGCCTTCCCACACCCACAGCACCTATAGGGCTTCTCCCCTGTGTGCACTCTCTGATGTATGCAGAGGCTGGAGCTCTGGCTGAAGGCCTTCCCACACTCATAGCATTTATAGGGCTTCTCTCCTGTGTGGACTCTCTGATGCATGCAGAGGCTGGAAGTGTGCCTGAAGGCCTTTCCACACTCTTCACATTTAAAGGGCTTCTCTCCGGTGTGCACTCTCTGATGCATGCAGAGGTTTGAACTATTGCTAAAGCCCCTTCCACACTCACTACATACATAGGGTTTCTCACCTGTATGAACTCTCATGTGAATCTGCAGGTGTGAGCTCCAATTGAAGGCTTTGCCACACTCGTAACACTTATAGGGCTTCTCCACTGTGTGGATTTTCTTATGTCTGTTAAGTTTGGTTGTAGTACTAAAATCCTTACCACAATCGTCACATTTATAGACCTTCTCTCCTGTGTGGTCTCGCCAATGAATATGAAGTTCTGATATATGAAAGAAACCCTTGTCACACTTGTCACATTTATGGGGCTTCTCAGCAGTGTGAATTTTCTGATGCATAAAAAGATCTGCTCTCTCAGAGAAAAACTCCCTGCACATGGGGCACTTGTAGATCATGGTTCCTATTTGGTATCGTGATTTAGAGATTTCCTTACAATGACTACAGTTACAGGCGGCTGTCTCAGAGTCTCTCATTTGGCCATGTTGGCATTTATCTCAAGCTGGCTCTATGCGGGAGATCTGAGGTCGGCCTAAGCTTTTCCCTGCCTGTCTTTCCATGGAAGGTTTCTTCCTGCATAGTGTTCCTCACTCAGTATTATTATTGATTATAAAGTGACATGTACATCCACATCAACTCTGGAACTCGTTAACACAGCACTTTCTTTTAGATCCTGAGCTGTCAACATTCCAAGAGGCTGCCAAGGTGCAAACCTTTGTGCTTTTAAGCCCCTGGAATCTTCCTCTTGCAGAATAATCTCGTTCGTCTCACTTGCAGGGAAAGGCCTGCCCAGTGTCCCCTGCGGCCGAGGGTGTGATCCTGCGTGCTGGCCTCGGTCCTCGGGAGCCTCCCCTTGCAGAGTCACTATGACATCCTGCCCCCTTCGCATCAGACAGGAGCCTCCCAGGAAGCAAGCACCTCAGGTCCCGGTATGTCAGTCCTTCCTCGTGAGGCCTCCCTGCACAGCTGTCGCTCCAGCGGTCTCCTGTAATAGAAACGAACACATACACTGAAAACACCTTTCTCATACAGAAAATTGCCATGGATTCTATAATTAATTTTCAATAAGCAAGACAGCAGTGACACAGACCTTCTGTGATCTTGAGGAAGGAGCTCTATCTTCCACAGAGATGTGTCTCTTGAATTTGCAGGTCTGAAGAAGAGAATTTGTAGATATCATGCTCCCGTTCAGAGCCCAAATACATAATCCAATTACAACTGCTGACTGTAATTATCTGAGCAACACCAAGGGCTATTATTGAAAAAGAGAAGAAATCCTCAGAAGACCTACATGTGAGTATCAGAAGCAGCTGTCTACACAAAGGAGCAAGAAGGAAAACTCGCTCCACTTGGAACCTCAGAAGGAACAATGCTGCTGCTTCTGGAGATGAAACACAATACTGAAGGGCCCTCCAATCCAGAGAAAGTAAATATATGACATGTTGGCATCAAGAGTCATTCCCTCACTTAACTGTCCCAATGGTCTCCTGATGTTCTTAAAATCCCAATCCTTAACCTAAAACCCAAGGTCCTGCATGGCCCTGCCCCCACCCACCCCAACCTCACACATGGCTGGATGTGTCAGCTGCCTCTCCTTTTCCTCAAGAAGGTTCCTGGCTAAGACTCTATTTAAATCTCTTATTTGATTCCTTCAAAGTACAGAAAACTTGTAATTATCTAATTGTTCCTTGCTTTTTGTTCTGTCTCCTGTGCTAGAAAGTAAACGCCAGGAGGGAGGAACTTAGTACGTTGCTCACTTACATTCTGGCCAAGCAGGGGTATTCAATGGATACCTACTGGATGCATCCAGAGGGTACTTAATAACACCTCCTCTCTCCTGTAGACATGTCCTGCTTCATTCTGGTACAGCAGATAAAGGTATATTTTCCACTGCCTTATTACCAGACTTTTGATAATCAACATGGGACAAAATATATACCAAACAGACCCAGAAGAAAATCCCGAAGTACTCAATCTGAAATCTTTTGAGGTTTAGGATGCCTTAGCTACATTTTTATGTCCTGTATTATGCTCAGCAAGTGATACTTCAGTTGCTTAATGAAATAAACAGATCTTAGAATAACATTCTCAATAATATGCTCAATACCAAGACAGGATACACGAGGGCTTGAGGAGGTTTAACATTAAAATCACAAAATAAGGGGACCTCCCCAGTGATCCAGCAGTTAAGATTCTGAGCTTCCAATGCAGAGGACACAGGTTCAATCCCTGGTCAGGGAACAAAGATCCTACATGCTGAGGAACATGGATTAAAAAAAAAAAGATTGCAAAATAAACAGTACTGTTTCCAGATGGAAGTGTCAGGATAATGCAATTCATCTAACAACCAAGGTTTCAGCAAAATATAATCAGTGTCTGAAAAATTATATATGCATCTATCCTCTGATCTAGTAATCACATTTCTAGAGATCTATCCCAAGATATACTGGCAAAATAGGAGATGACCAATTTATTCACTGATGCGGCACCTGTCACAGCAAAACTACAGGCAGCCCAGGGCCCACCCACTGGGGAGGGGCTGAATCAACTATGGGGCTTCCTTACAGTGAACTATTGCTCAGCCATCAAAAAGAGGGAATGCAGACGAGCACGATGTACTGACAGGAGTAAGCCCAGGTGCTGGTGGTGGTGGTTTAGTCGCTAAGTCATGTCCGACTCTTGCGACCCCATGGACTGTAGCCTGCCAGGCTCCTCTGTCCATGGGATTCTACAGGCAAGAATACTGGAATGTGGGTTGCCATTTCCTTCTCCAATCCCAGGTAATACTGTCTAGAAAAAAAAAACAAGGCATAGAATAGTATATCCAACCTGCTATCTTTTATGCAAAAAAGGAGGGGAATGTGAATTATTTACATACATCTTTACATGATGTACAAAAGTAAACATGGAGAAGGATAATATGAAATGAATTTTTTTTAAAGTATAATTTACAATGTTCTGTTAGCTTCAGCTATACAACAAGTGATTCTGTTATACATTTAGATAAATATTCCTTTTGGGATTATGGATATTGCAAGATATTGAATATAGTTCCTTGTGCTATACAGTAGGTCCTTGTTGCTTTCTATTTTATATATAGTAGTGTGCATATGTTAATTCCAAATGCCTATTTTATCTCCCCCACTCCTATTGTCCTCTTTGATAACAGTTAAGTTTGTTTTCTATGTCTGAAAGTCTATTTTTGTTTACTACAAAATGAATTTTTAAACAGGAGGAAGAAGAAAAGGATGAAGTAAAATTTCTCTGAATGTAACATTAAGTTGTTTTGGCTTTGGAAACATATGTTTATATATTCAAAAGCAAAATTAAATAAACAAAAAAAAGGAATTCCTAAAATTTTAAAACAAAATGAAGAAAATGAACCTTAATTTTCCTGTTATCCACAAAAAACTTTTAAGTACAAGAGACTGAGTGTCCATTCTTAGAAGGAAATTTTGTTGATAAATAAAGCTGCAAAGAAGTTAAATTTCTTTCATGGTTTAACTGATTTATAACAAATGTATTTTCATAAAGGAAGATAATGCAAATAACTCACTATGGTAATGTTGTTAAGAACCAAGATTCGAAGTGAAAGAAGTGAGATACTGGCATAAAATCAAAATTAAGGAAAAAAATCTTATAATGTAAAATTTGATTTAGAAATATCAGCAGTGGTCCCTTCTCTTATGGAACCTTCTCCACCAAATGGCACAGGGATCTTTGCAGAGTGGCTGGTCTCAAGGCCAGAGCAGCACTTTACACAGTGAGCCTTGGGACACCTTGTTATGCCAGAATGCAAGGAGTCATGCCAAAGAACACAGATGCCAACTTACAAATAGGCTCCCATTAGCCAAAACTGGGACAACTGAGGGTCAGAAGGAATGATGAATGTGACCCATTGAAACACACTAAATATACAAAACCCCTGAATTCACAGTGACAAGGGGTGGGGAGGCACTGAGAAAGAAAGAGAGGTACAGACAGACAGAGAGACAGACTCAAGGCACTAGACTAAACTGAAAGTTACAGAATACCAACTTTTACCTTTTTTGAAACTTGGCAATTAAAAGGAAAGAATGAAGAATTCTTCCTCTATGAACTATCTTTCAAGAGAATGCAACAAGCCAGCTAGTAAGTGTGCATCTATAACGAAATGCATGATTCAGACCATGGCAAGAAATGTAAAAACATCAGATGAAAGGCTGATCAAGAACTTCTTACACTTTTGAGGATCTGGCTATCAACCCCTGACCCCCTGATTGATGTCAGCATACTCCAAGAGGAGCAAATATACCCCCTGCCTCCTGGTCTGATGCCACAGGAACCACACAGCTTCACCTGAAACATTCTTGCCAAACACGTCTCCTGGACTCCTTCTTTATCTGGGGGAACCAGGAGGGCTAGGGAACTACCAGGACACAAGCAGAAAAATATCAAAATGTGAGCCAGTCCACAGGACAACTGCCCATTTCTGCAACAAGTAAATGGTATGTATGGAAAAGGTGGGGGCGGGGGGTGGACTTCCCTGATGGTCCAGTGGTTAAGACTCTGCACTTCCAATGCAGGGGGCTTGGGTCTGACCCCTGATCAGGGAACTAAGATCCCACATGCTACACGCCATGGCCAAAAGAAAAAAGAAAAAGAAAAAAAAGTTGGGGGTGGGGGCTGATCTAGATTAAAGATACCTGAGATATAACAATCAAATGTAACTTAAGGATCTACCTTCTTAGGAATTTGGTTCAAATAAGCCAGCTGCTAAAACAGGACAACTGGGGAGATGCCCATTAGGGACTAGGTATCAGATTACACAAGGAACTGGGCTCACTGTATGAGGTGTGATGATGCCTTTGCAGTTGTGTAAACCAATGCTTGTATTTTTAGAGATGGATACTGAGGCTTGTAACAATAAAATGATGTCTGAGATGTGTCTTAAAATGCTTGGGCTAAATAAAAACAACAGACAAAGCAAATGAGGGAGGACTGCTGTAACTGTTGAATCTAGGTGATGGATAAATAATGAACAAGACAATCAATCTCTTCCTTTGTGTATGTCTGTCATTTTTCATGATAACAAAACTGGCTAATACTGGGAAACATTCTTTTCCTGCTTCTCCTGCAAGGACAAACTGACCCCCGAACCTGAACACTGCACAGAAGTGCACGTGAACTAAGCAGAAGCAACCCTCCAATGGCTGTGACCTCGGCAGTCCATCCTGAGCACACGAGTGTGTGCACACTGCAGACATCTCTGGGGAGTGGAGGGAGGCTGCTGGGGATGAGCCAGGGACACGGCGAGCAGTGCTGCACTAGGCTCCTCCTTCCCTCACCAGCTCTTCAACCGAGAGCCATGTGGTTCCCCTGGTGCCCTCCCTTGGAGAGGCAGCGGCCAAGGTCAGGG